AGAGGGAGGAAGAAGGTAAGGACGAAGCAGAGTAAGAAAGGAGAGAGATAGATAGAGAGAAAGAAGAAGAAAAAGAAGAGAATGAAGAAAAGAGAATTGTGGTTCATTTTCTGCCACATGGGAAGAACACGAGGGTTAGGTGGGAGGGGGAAGAGGGTAGAATAGAGAGAGGGAGAGAGACCCACGCCTGATGAAAGCGGTGATGAGGGGGAAGGTAACGCAAAATGACGGGCCTTTAAAAACTACCTCCACCGGTGCCAAGTGAAAGGTGGAGGTGTAGCAGAACGAGGGTACACACTTGCCTAAATAGTGAATATCTCTATGTATGTATGTATGTATGTATGTATGTATGTATGTATGTATGTATGTATGTATGTATGTAGAATTCTTTTATTTACTCTCATAATTTTCCTTTTTTCATTGTCACTCACTCACTCACTCACTCACTCACTCACTCACTCACACCTATATCTCACTCTACACTCCTCACTCGCGCACCTCGTGAAGTAACTTGCCCCGCTCTTGATAACTGTGAGGTATTTACCGTCTCTTAAATTGGCGGGTTATTAAAGTGACTCATAAAACAGCGAAAATTAAGTCCGCGGAGTGGGAGGTGTGTTGAATATTGGGCTGTGGTGTTGTGATCGTGCTTCTGCGGTGCCCACACACACACACACACACACACACACACACACATGGTCAACACCCACATGAATATTAAAAGATAAACTGAGAGAATCCTTACTGAGACTTGAGTTAGTGATGGTCTTTATGTTCTGAGTGGGAGAGGTCAAAAACTTTACCTTCTTATTGTGATTAACATTGACTTCATCTGATCAAATGTCTTCAGTAGATGTTCTGAGGTTGACAACAGCACGATGATATACGCCTGAGATCACACAACAACCTGTCCTTTTTTTTAACACCATTCCCTCTCTCAGACTTTTGATGTAAGTAACGAGTTTGATATCCTTAGGGTCGTCACAGCGTTTGGGTGTTGATACTCCTGTGTTGTGTGATCCTCTTTTGTTCTGGTGATGACACACACACACACACACACACACACACACAAGAATAACTCACAGCTACACGTTTTCTCAATCAACTAATTATCCTTAATCGGCTCTATAAACTCGAGCTGACTCACCACTGTTTCACTCCCTCCCCATCTGCTCAGCTAACTGGGAAATAAGTTCAGCTGCTTTTTAAACGGGAATTGTCTTTAAGTTCATTATTCATGTGTCTCATTTACCCCCCCCCCCCCTGAGAGTTATTAGTACTACTCGGCACAGCTAGTTAACGTCTTTATCGGACCAGTGGAAGGGATCTTAAAATGGAATAGGCTATGTATGTCCTCCTGCTTAACTCGTCGTTCTGTTGTATCAGGTGAAGCTTTATGAGGTCAGTAGTCTCTCTCTCTCTCTCTCTCTCTCTCTCTCTCTCTCTCTCTCTCTCTCTCTCTCTCTCTCTCTCTCTCCAACAACCTTCAACACATGTAAACAATTTTCTTCATTTGGTTTTGAGACAAAGTAACATTTTTCTTGAGGTCCCAGTAGCGGCGTGTGTAGGGAGGACACCTTCAGAGGGTCTTGTCAACTTTGTACCTCAGAAAGACGGAATGTCCTTCTCTCAGATCAGTTCTCCTCTCTCTTGCCTCCCCCCCCTCTTCTTACCTGCCCACCCTCCTTACCTGCCCCCCCACCCCTCTCCCTCCTCTCCCCCTCCTTACAATGAGAAAAAGGACTCACAAACTCTCTCTTTCTCTAACACTGTGTTGTAGGGAGGGAAGTCACCGCTAAAATACCCCACAGGAGTCACGAGGAGGTATCGTCTAGACTGTTTTGGTTGTGTCTGCCAAATTCACTCTCTCCACCTGTGTGCCGACCAGCAGTAGAGCAGACCCGAGGCGCTAGACGGGGGACCATCACCCCGCTCGGCTCACCTCTGCTGCATGGACCCGTTCAGCCTCCTGTACCATATTGTTTCATTTCTTTAAGATCTTTTCATTCCTCGTGCTTCTCATTCTCTCCTGTGATGTTTTTTTGTGTGTGTGTGAGTTACGTGTGTGTCGTCTCTGTTCTGAATCTGTTTTTCCCCCGTATTGTGTTGTGTTTTGTTATTTTTTATTATTCGTGTTTGTTTTTCTCTGGGGTTTTGTTTGTGTTTTTTCCGCCTTGTTAAGTGTTATTTCTACTTCGTCTGTTTTACTGTTTGTATTTGCTCTCCGTTTTGTTTTTGTTTTACTTCCATTCCATTTTTTTTCCTATTTATGTGATGTTTTTAATCTTTTTTTTATTTTTATTTAACTTTTAATCAGAATTCTCATATATTTTACTACTGTTTCTTTTTTGCCTAATTGTATCTTTTTTTTATCTTTATGAATGTACAGTATCTCTCTCTCTCTCTCTCTCTCTCTCTCTCTCTCTCTCTCTCCTCACACACGTGTACCACCACCACATACATCACCAACCCCCCCTCCCCCTCCCTCCCCCTCCCTGCCCCATCCTTAATTATAAATTTTTCCTCACTCAAGACCATTATAAACCTTCTATTTATCCGGCAACAAAATATGAAGGTGGCGGAGTACACTTCATCACCCGCCTGCCGTAACTCCTCCTCCTCCTCTTCTTCCTCCTCCTCCTCCTCCCCGTCTTCTTCCTCCTCCTCTTCCTCTTCCTCTTCATTTATGTTACATCTCCTTGTATAGTCAATTATTCCTTTTATTATCTATGGCATCTGCTGTGTAATATGGATGTACACACACACACACACACACACACACACACACACACACACACACACACACACACACACACACACACACACACACACACACACACTCTTCCCTGCTTAAAGTATTATATTAATCGATATTGTTCACTCATATTTTTTTATAAATAAAATACAAAACAATAAAATAATTTGCAACATTCATATTTTTCTATCAGTATGTCATCAGAAAAAGTGGTTAGGTTAGGTTAGGTTTAGGTTAGGTTAGGTTTAGGTTTAGGTTAGGTTAGGCTTAGGTTAGGTCGGTTAGGTTAGGTTAGGTTAGGTTTGGTGAGGTTAGGTTAGGTTAGGTTAGGTTGGAAAAAGAACATTTATTGTGGTCACTCGACAGCTCAGACCACCAGCGGACTGAGGACGGTACAGCAGCTCCTCTCACCCAGTCCGCTGAGTCCAAACACTAGAGTCTTAATCCTCTGGCTGCGTCCTGTCAACCTTCCGGGGAAACACTATGCTCCATGGTGGCCATTTCCTAACCTTACTGGTCCACTGAGTCTACACAGTTGACTTAATCACCCAGAGTCATTAAGCCTTTCGCATACATACATCAACCAAGGTTACTCACTAGTTCCCAAACCTCACTCGTCACTACGACTAAATCACCTTTGATACTCAATATCCTCACTATCCCTGTCATCGTCACCATCGTCCCTATCACTGCCAACATCACTCACTCTCTCTCTCTCTCTCTCTCTCTCTCTCTCTCTCTCCCCCACCTGCATCTTGGCAGAGTCTCACAGATCACCTTCAACATTTATTATATCCAGATGACGTAGTGGATGGTGCTGGGACAACCTCCATGGTTTATATCCCAAACTCTTGCTTCTCGCTGCCATATAAATATTTATTACGTTTCTTAGAGGAATTGTCTATATACTGTAGTAGTGTGTGTTAAGGTGGAGTTATGTCTCGGTCTAGTAGGAGTGTCGGCCTCCTGTGACCACGAGCCCTGGCTTACTGGACACACAGAGGACATTTACTCTACAAGTCAGTTCACGGCAGCAGCACCTACGTGAATCAGGAGTCATTGTTTTTACACCTCCGTCTGGTGGGTTTATCATACACAGCCTTATGGTGAGTCGAACCCGGGGACTCTATATTACCAGATGAATGTGATAACCACCATAACATACTGGTGCAACTTAAGACACCAAACGCTTTGCTGGTGGTGACTTTGTGACAAGTGTTATACCTCGCGGTTTCTTGGTACACGGGATTGGTGATAAGATGGCACAGATCTCCTTGATAGACTGTGTTCTATTATGTGTGATAGACTTCTCCCTCTTGATAAATGTCTCCGATACACAGCCGGGAAGAAGTGAGTCTCTGTGTCTCTTCCTTAGAATCTATCTTAACATAAACTCGGGATTCTAGATAACTCGGCAGATTCTGTGGGCGATATGTCCAATAAGTCACGATGACACGAAATCTCACTTGATGCCAAACCGTTCAGGAAAAACCCCACGAAATTAGCCCCAGAGCGTTTGCCTTGTGCACAGGTGTGGGGCGAGTTTTTCCCTCATTCGTGTTTTAGGGTCAAGGGTGGTGTGTGTGTGTGTGTGTGTGTGTGTGTGTGTGTGTGTGTGTGTGTGTGTGTGTGTGTGTGTGTGTGTGTGTGTGTGTGTGTGTGTGTGTGTGTGTGTGTGTGTGTGTGTGTGTGTGTGTGTGTGTGAAGCGAGATAGATCGTTCGTAAACTGTTTCGTGTTACTTGTTGTAGTTTTGTCATTTAGCGAAGCGTAACTGAGTGGTTTTTTATTGTCACCTGGCTTGTGAGTATTTGTATGTTTGTCTGTGAGCGCACACACACACACACACACACACACACACACACACACACACACATACGCATTTTCATTCAGATTTTGTTCAGTAAATTCTCCAAGAGCAGTATTTATGCTCCTTATATAACAGACAACATAAACAACAGCTGTCTTCTGTTGAGAGACTCTTAGACAATACTTCTTGAAACACTAAACTTGGTGGACTCCATAAACGCTGGCCGGCTGGAGTAACTTATTGGTAATATGGTTAAATGACCCGCCATGTTTGTTGTGTGAGGAGATGAGTAAATTCTTAATAACATTGAAGAATACAGGAGGTCGAGGTGAAGACGTCTACCAGCCAAAATCAATCGTCAATAACTAATAGTCAGTAAAATTTCACATGGACGGAGGGACACTTATGTAAACCAGAGCGTGTGTGTGTGTCTTACCAGGTAGTGGGAGGCGGTGCACGGGGTGTCGGCGGGGTGGTCGGGGTCGCTGGCCCCCGGGGAGGGCGTCCCGTGCAACAGGTCCTCCAGGGACTCTATGTACTCGATGGCGTTCCTCAGAATCTCCACCTTTGGCATCCGCTGGTTGGGGTTACTGCACGTCCGTCGCTTCAGGATTTCGAAGGCCTCGTTCACCTGCGAGAGAGAGATAATCTACCTCAGGTACAGGAAAGCGGACGTTCACTCATAAAGAGAGAGAGACCTCACGTTAACTACAGGTGGGCAGACGTTGTAGTCACAGGAAAGTTCATGTAGAGTAAATATAACTTAAGGTTATTTATAGGCAGGAAGATATTACTCTTGGTAAGAGACCATATCTGATGATGCTGTTAATACTGATAGATCACACGTACGCACGCACACACACACACACACACACACACACACAAACACACACATCATCACGCGGTGTCTCCAGGGTACTGCAATACTCCGCGTGATGATTATTAATACAACACGTGAGGTCCCCCATGACATCACCTGTGATTGAAGTACTGCACCACGTATTGTTATTCACCTCAACACACCTGGTCTACGTGTCCTCCTACAGACGGGGGGCGTCAGTAAGGCCCAGTAGCTGCTGGCATCACCCATGTTAGGACCTGCTGGAGCCTCACTACATAATAATTATGGTGACCGCTCCCCCTCCTTCTCTTCCCTCCCCTCCCTTTTACTCTTCCCTTCCTTCTCTTCTTCCCTTCCTTCTCTTCTTCCCTTCGCTCTCTTCTTCCCTTTCGTCTCTTCTCCCCTTCCTCCTCCTCTTTCTTTCCTCCTCCTCCTCCCTTTCTCCTCCTCTTCCCTTTCTCCTCCCTTGCCTTCTTCCTCCCCTTGCATTCCTCCTCATCTCTTCCTCCTCTTTCCTTCCTCTTCGTCCTCCTCAACCCTTCCTCTTCTTCCTTCAGTTCGCCGTGACTACAGCAACAAGCCTCCAATATCAAGAACACGTATTTAAAGTGTTCAACGACGAGAGGAAGTTAGTAATACTGAAGTGTCTTAATTATTTCTTGTTATTCTTACGTATGAGACAATAACAAGAGCAATGAGAGAGAGAGAGAGAGTATCCTTGGTATAGTTATTAGCGTATTAATAACCGTCTTAACTATACAATCACCAGGTGTAAATTACTGTCTACCTGTGGCTTATATTTCAGTCTGTTGTTTATTTATCTTTCTCAGTAAGTCATCTATCATATCCAGGTAGAGGCAGTGTAGTCTTCAGAATACTCTCACTAAACAGTATCGTTACGATGGTCAGTGTAGTGTATAAGTTAGTCTGTTCTTTAGTGTTAATTCTGCATTATTTTTTTTTTTTTACAATATCTAGATCAGGTCACTGTCTAGATCAGGTCACTGTCTAGATCAGGTCACTGTCTATAGTCTATGCCTTGTCACTGTCTACATCAGGTCACTGTTAGACCAGATCACTGTCTACACTGGGTCACTGTCTACATCAGGTCACTGTTAGACCAGATCACTGTCTACACCGGGTCACTGTCTCCACCAGGTCACTGTCTAGACCAGGTCACTGTCTAGACCAGGTCACTGTCTAGACCAGGTCACTGTCCAGACCAGGTCACTGTCTTTATAACGCCGTTCTCTCTGGGAATTTAACGCAGTACTTGATTTCTATCTCTAAATCTATCATAATATTGACTTGAATGAACAAACCTCGTGAGAGAGAATCAGTAAAATGAGTGTTGGTGGAGCCAGTCCGTGATGTCAGAGTTGGTGGAGCCAGTCCGTGACGTCAGAGTTGGTGGAGCCAGTCCGTGACGTCAGAGTTGGTGGAGCCAGTCCGTGACGTCAGAGTTGGTGGAGCCAGTCCGTGACGTCAGTGTTGGTGGAGCCAGTCCGTGACGTCAGAGTTGGTGGAGCCAGTCCGTGATGTCAGAGTTGGTGGAGCCAGTCCGTGACGTCAGAGCAGCACAGGTGTTTGTATCTCGCCCGTGAAATGGAATGTAGCGCCACGTCTCCTCTCTACTGTACTGGCGCTGATTCTCAATGTTTTTTCAACTCTTCATGTTCCTCCTAAGGATAAGAGAACACGTGAGGTTGTGGTAGAGCCGTTGTGTTGTGCTGATGCTGTGTGTTATCACTTGATGGAGCCAGTTAGACGCGTTCACACATCTCCAGTTAGAAGGAATAACTAACGTATGAAGCTTTGAGATCTTAAGCCTTGATGGTGGCAGCGAACGAGTGCAAAAAAAAAGGTTTATTTTCCCTCATTAGTTGCAGGTTTAGACAAGTTGCATGCAGTGCCCAGAAAAAATGTTAGAGTCGAGTATTTCAGTGCAAGTAAATTCAAAGCATCCGCGGGATTAAAAGAAGTTGGAGAATTAAGAGACAGTAAACTAGCTTTAATGTATTAAACTTTGCAATAAACTTAAAAGGTCTTGGATGTGAGGAGGATACACGAGGATAAATAACCAAGGAGATTATCCGGGTAATATCCAGGTGATTGCGACAGATGTCCTTCCTGCCTCCTCCTCCTTCTCTCTCTCTACTTCCCCCCACCTCCTTTTTCTTCATCTCCCTCTTACCACAGAGAAATAAACCATCCCATGATTCAAGGTGACATGAAGCTACAGTACCCACCCCGGAGTTACTCGTCAGGCTACCCATCACTCTCCAGGGTCTACGGTTGTAAAATTACCTCACTGTTCACCGATTATCGAGAACCAAAGTGTAAGAATAATTTTAGAGTTTAAGGTCAACCTTGAACTATTCTGAGTTCCCCGTGACTCAAAACCTACACAGCGCAACTTCAGGGGTTTGCTTTCACCATAACTCATTTTCTAAGGATTCAGGTCCCACCTAGACTCTCCCAGGGGTCTAAGTCTCTAAGCCAGAGTTTATCTTCCTGGTCAGCCAGAACTCACGTCCCAGGGGTTAAATACCCTGCCAGGCACCTAAAACCCACCTCCGAGTGCTTTAGGGTCCACCGACCACCTACCCAGAAGTTCAAGGTCCACTCGTACCCCACCTCTCAGGGGTTGAAGGTCGACCCGTACAGGAGCTCTCGCAAGGCTGTCAGGACATGTGGCACCACTTTGGGGCGGAGGCGTCCCCTACAGACGGCGGCGTCGACGCGTTTACAGTTTCGTCTGCGTGACTCCAAATGATCTTTTTCTGTGGTGAAAGAGAACCCCGCCTTGTTGGTGGCCCGGGAGTCACTTGTCCCCTGTTTTGTGACTCGGGGCGAGGGTAGTGGACAGCCTCTAGGGGCACTAAACGGCCTTGACGATAGTACATGGTCGTCTTGATGATGGTAGCTGGTGTCCACGGTATTACATTACCTCGCGTGAACGACCAGTGCGACGAGTCTCAACCATACTTAACTATAGCAAGTGGACGATCTTGAGGAAAGTGGACAGGTCACTCAAAGACAGTGGACAGTCATGGGGACAGTAGACGGTTTTCTCTAAGACAGTAAATGATCAGTAGACTAACTCATATTAGTGACCGGCATCAGTGTGTACAGTGAGTGAGGCTGAGGTGGTCAGTGATCTCCTCATGGGCAGCTGAGGGTCTCTCTCTCTCTCTCTCTCTCTCTCTCTCTCATCACGCCATTCACTATACCGTTATCTCCACCACGCCATCACTTCTCTCCCCCTTAAAAAAAAAAATCCTTCCTCTGATAAAAAGAACAAATTCCCTCGAGGTCTTCCCATGACTTGTGTCTTGTATATTCATGAATGTTTTATTGACCAGGGATGATTCATGTGTGTGAGCGTTCCCAGTGCACACACACACACACACACAGACACACACACACACACACACACACACACACACACACACACACACACACACACACACACACACACACACACACACACCCCCTCCCTGACATCCAATTCTAGCCAAAACCACACGTGCGCGGACATGAAACACTTGATTGGTCCATATCTTCCATTGTTGCCCGCAAAAAAAAAATACTTAACCTGTGTAGAGATATATTACAGGTTATTCTCTATAATATATATATGAATTCTAGAGTATTTTTGTATCACTTAAATCGTAATGTAAGAACCCCTGGTTAATAAAAGTATACAATAGGTTTTTGGTGCCCTAGGGGGGTGTAGCTATGGTAGTATCGAGAGATCAGGTAAATGTTCTTCAGTGTCAGTACAGGTAAAATGCTGCTTAAAGAACCTCATAGGATATCAAGTTTAACGAGCGTTATATATATTATAATTTAGGAATATTAATAAAAAACACTATATTAATACAGCATTAACCATATGCATCCTTCCCTCATGACATCTGACCGTCAACTGAGTGTAGTAACTTACTGAATACTGATTGTCACGTCTCAGGCCGTCATCACAGGTCTGGCAATGTCTGATATATTTTATGCAGTAACTTCTATAGTTGTTGTAAGTAAATTTTGTTAACGTAGCTGAGTGTTTCATGATTTCTTGGTCTGAAGACATGTCATTGTATTATACATGAAGACCTACAGTCTATATTTTTATGTGAATAAGTTATTTCCTGAGTAATTGATCCTTAACCTAACCTAACCTAACCCAAACTGAACCTGACTCAAACCTTAATGTAGAGAGCAGTGAGGCAGTGCAGATAGTGTGTGTGAGTGTGTGTGTGTGTGTGTGTGTGTGACTAGGGGGGTAAAGTAACAAGTGGTCACACGTGCTTGCTACATGGTGCCTGCAGTGAACCACATGTCTCTACACTGTCATAAATTGTAACACTATCCTAACACATACAACTCTTAAACTTTAGTTAGGAAAAAGACTTAGATAAAAATAACTACATATATGCCAAGGCAATAAACACCGTGTGAAGTATATTATCCCTGTATACCGTATAATAATATATCTCTTGGGAAATTGTGTAGAAATAGAATGAATGAAGTTATTTCTGAAATATTGAATAGTAAATGATAACGTGAGTAAATAATTAGTAAACTGTGTTATTGGTTCTTTTATAATAACGATAGTCATAATAATAATAATAATATTAGTAGTAGTAGTAGTAGTAGTAGTAGTAATAATAACGATAATAATAACAATAATAATAACAATAATAATAATAATAATAACAATAATAACAATAATAATAATAATAATAATAATAATAATAATAACAATAACGATAATAATAACAATAATAATA